GAAGGTACCTCAGCATAGCCCATGTCTTTATTGTGTTAATCATGGAGGCCCAGCTAGCTTTTTTACCTTTACCTATATATATATGCTGTTCTTTTCTCCTTCTGGCCGTAATTAAGTAGTTTATAACCTAGCCAACTAATTTAGCATGCAGGCCCAGCTGTAAACAACATAGTGAAAGACAGGAAGGATTCCATCTTAAATATTCTATTTTAATAGCCAGGAAGTTAAAAACATAAGATTCTTAACTTACTCTTTAGCAAACAGACAAGAGCTCAGCCCACCTTGGGGGGCTTGGCAGGCAGCCTGTTTGATCTGCTCCCAGACCAAGACTCTGGTATCCCAGGGAGAAATCAGAGCAGAAAGTTCCTTGTGTTAAGTTAATTATAAGTATTCAAAAACCACTTAACAAGTCTGCGCCCCCACCCTTAGTCACATTCCTAAAGAATCCTTAAAAGACGGAACCCCTGGCCTTTCCCGGCTTTCCTCTCTCTGGGGTTCCTCACTTTCTAGATGCTTTTCCTTTTAATCTTTTCTCAATCTTTCAGGGGCACCTCTTCTCTGGGGCAGCCCACACTCCCCTTTCTCCAAGTGTGCTCCTTTTGCCTTAAATAAATTTCTCACTTAAACTCATTGTCTCTGCGCCTTTCCAGTAGTGTTTTATTACTTTGCTTTGTCATTCTAATCCTCCGAATTCTAGCTTTAACCTTCACTCTATCCAATCTCAGACAAGTCAGAGGGGCAGCTGAGAGCCCAGACCTGGGCTTGCAAATTACTATCGCTTGCTGACCAGGACCTGCAGTTTACAGTCATGCTCTTTAGTAAACTGCCTGAAAGTCTCCCTTCTTTACCTATAGGAAGTTCTCAGAACAGAATCTCACTCCATCCAGTGCTCTGCAGCTCCCCCAAAGCCTGGGGTGGCAGGGACTCAGTTGCCACGCCCTGCAGATCCAAGCGGGCGCTGGACGCCAGGTGACCCTGGCTTAAGGAGTTAGCAGGGGTCGTGCCCCGTGCTGAGTAGCTGTTCAATGAACTTCCTTTAGTATTCTATTCTGTCATTCTTTAACACTCTTACTTTAATGAATTCCTTCCTCACTTTGTCCTCTGATTTCCCTGCGTCACCAAATCCAACTCTCCCTAACATATTTTGGTGCCGCGCCTTGGACAGATTTCCATACCCGGTAAGCAGAACCACCCTAACAAGTCAGTAAAAAGAAGTGGTCCATGCCCTCATGGCCTTTATGCAGGAGGTTGAAATATAAAAATATGACAACATGCTTTGAAAAGTACTATGATATGGGCATTACAGGGGTTTTCCAAGTTACTGGCACTAGAAAGATCAGTGAGCAGGGTACAAATCTTGAAGTTAATTGTGAGGGTAACTCCACAATGCCACTGGCCAAATTGCTTTCTGAAAATCACTTCTCCATGAATCACCTGGACCCTTCACTCACTCTTCTGTTTTAATATACAAATTAACTTCTCCTCAGTCTTTCCCAAAAATGAAAGCGAAGATAACAGCAACAGAAGCCAAAACACCGAGAGTGTGTGACTGATCGCACAGCAGACAGACTTCTTGCAGCAATAGGTAATCTGTGTTCGGTAGCATCATGCAGCTGAATGATGTCCCCCTGAGCTCTCTGTAAAGTTATGAGAGTTACCTCTTAACCTCTACATCCAATTTTCTGGATATAATAAATGTATTTATGGGAAACCTACTACCTGCCAGACATGCTGTACATTATTTCTAATCCTTGCAATACTTCTAATCAGTGGATGTTTTTATCCCTACTTTACAGATGAAGAAACTGAGACTCACAGAGGATAAATTATGTATCCAGAGATAATAGTTGGAGCAGGCTGTGGGCCAGGGCATTTGCTATGCCTTCTTTCTCCCTGTTCGCACGGTTACCCACACAGAACAGTTATGGTCCACTATGGGGCTCCTGCTCCAGGGCACCACCTTCTAAAATGGACCCATGTGCCATGGCCTAAGAAAATTCATCCACTGGTAATACTGAGAAAAAGGCCATTAAAAGAGTGTGTCCCATGGGACACTGCCCTTTTCCTGCAGAAAGACCAACCTTCCTCCCCTTCCTAGCAACCAGAATCTTCCCATACAGGGACAAAGCACAAGTCCCTACCTGGGCCAGAGGGACCATGTGAGCTTTGTCCACAGGACTGCCACCTCTAGCCCTGCCTCTCACATGGACCTTTGAACACTGACAGTCTTTGATCCCATCTTTCCCACCTAAAAGGAAGAGGGAAGAACACTGCTGTCACTTCAGTGAGCTTAAAGCCACATTCCAGGGTCCTCTCCAGTGTTTTTCCTGTGGTCCCTGCATAGCAGGCAAAGGATGCTGCTCAAGGTCACCTGTGGATATTCACTCTCACAGCCCAGCAGGAGGCAGTATGGGCCATGGGCCAGGTTAGGTGTTAGGGGTGTGGGCACTGGAGTCAGAGCCCTGGAATGAACCTCAGAGCTGACAGGCACCTTCTCAGAGCCTGTTTTCTCAGAAAAAAAAAAGCAGACTATAATAATTTCCTCTTGTTAGTGAGGGTTAGATAAGATGGTGCTTGTAGTTCAACATTGCAGATAGTAAGTATTAAATAAATGTTAGCACTTCTTATCCCAATGAGGCATCAGCTTGGGTAATAAATGTTGCCTGCAGTGGGTTTCATTTAAATGAGGATAAAAAGGGATTAATAAAGTGAAAGGGTGACAGAGAGAAAGAAAACAGAGAGATAGGGAGGACAAAACAATTACACAGAAATTTTGTTCCTGAATATCATGGCTTCAGTTTTACTATGACATATCAGACTTAGGACATAAAAGTCAGCTTTTCAACATAAAAGATTTCTGTCCCCACCCCAATGAAAACTTTAAATTTTTTTCATTTTGAAAGTGTTTCAAGAGAATCAAAGCTAAATAAGAAGAAAAACAATGGCTTCACTGGCCAAATTATGTGGAAGTTTCCACATACAAATTTGTGATACAGTTTCAGATCATAAGAAAATATATTGAGTTCAAATACTTCTTTTTTAATGGGATTAATACTTCAATCTGATATAATTAATTGTCTAAAATGCTCTGGGATATACTGTGGCAAGATCACAAACTGTATAAAAGCATGAAGAGTAGAAGAGAACTCCTTATCTGCAACAAGATTCTCTATGACATTCTTCCATAATGTATAGGTCTGTAACAGATTCTCAATAAGACAGTTTGTTTAACACAGGCATATCATTTAACATACTCATCAAATGTCACCTTCACAATCTTGTCAACAATACTTGCAAATATACCAACTCTGGCAGATATTTATATTTTATACTCTTTCAAGATGCCATAGCAAACATTTGGCACAATTAAATGTTATTATAGACACGTTATCACCTTATCACCTGCTCAAGGATGACCAGACAGATAGCAGCCTAAGCCTCTGGTGTCCTCAAGAATTCATATTTAAGGCTAAACTTCGAACTTCACTATTCAAAAATGGCAACTATTGAAGTCATCACAAGCTACAGACATACCTGGTTACAAGGATACATGCTTAATTTAGGAAGAATAGATACTTTTTTTTTAGGTTTCTATGAGAGTTCTAAAAGGTGACTTTAAAACAGGACTTGAGGTTAAAAGCAAAACAAGCAGGGCTAAGGTAATGAGATACAATTAACCTGCTCACCCTTGCCTCACATAAAGAAGCCTGCCATGTTATTAGCAATTTTGTCAATCAACAATCTAATTTATGCTTCTCAATCAGTTCTCAAATAGCCCAATGTCTTAAACCACCATGTGTGCTGACCCTAGAAACACAAAAGCAATAGTTTCACAAAACGCTCCAGCAGTTTAAAGTGCCAGTGTTTTATGCCAGATAAGGAAAACAATAACAAAGCAACTCTTTAAAAATATTTTTTAAAGAGGATCTGAGGCAATGATGCTGGGGACCTTCGTTGGGGCTTTTAAAGGAACGAGTAAAGTGTTTCTTGAAGCACAGTGGTTCTTGCCTTGTTGACTACTGTGCACAATTCCCAACCCTGAAAATGACTCATCCACAAGGAACCCAAGGCTGTGTGCCTGACTCACCTGTTGAGCCCAAGCCCCCAGAGAGTTTCAACTTAAGGCAGCTTCATTAAACCCTGCTCAGTATAATCTGAAAGGGTTACAGATGCAAACATGAGTTATTCCTGGAGGAACGCTCCTCCTAAGCGGTCAACAACTAGTTAGTGATAATACCCAAATAGCAATAGTAATGGCCTCTCAGAGCAGGGGTTCATAGCTTTGGGGGTACACGGAGGCAGTTTGAAATCTTCAGCAAACCTCCAAGCATGCATATACAGGTGAATTTTGATACGGAAAGGGCTCAAGGTATTTCATTGAATAATCAAAGCAACCTGAGACCCCTCCCTCCGCAAAAGCTGGAAACCATTGTTTCACAGTAGAACTAAACGACACCCAAGCCATGAAGTCAGTTTGGGGAATCCTGAGGCACAGTGCCTTTTCAAACACTAACGTCCCGGCCCCACGGCCAAGCTCCGATCCGAAGTACATTGGGACATCACTAACTCCGTAGGGCTCAGGAAGCCTCTCTCAGCCCCTGCGCTCAGAGTAGCAGGGGGCGGGGGTTGCGGGGGGTTGGGGGGGGTAGTGTGATGTGCACGTCCCGAAGTTGAAGCCAAAGCACCTCTCTTTCAGGGAAGGCACTGCCCTGTGTCTAGGGTTACCCCAATCTGCGCGGTTATTTATCCAGCCCGCTCAGTCCGTTTACGTCCCAAGCGCAATTCTCTGCGCCTTGTTGGAAAAAAAAAAAAAAAAGTTAACTTGTTTAATTCTAAAATGACCTGAAAAGGTGTAGGAAAGGGCGCAAAAATCCACGAGGATGGGGACGCACCCGCCCAGCCGCCTTGTAGGGAAGTAACCCTCCCACTCGTCCCCCAGATCAACCCGCGCGGGGGGCGGTTAAGGACCAAGACGCAGCCGCGCCGGGGCCCGTGGTTACCGTCCGTTGGGCCCTCGTGGTCCGGGTCGCTGCTCATCGCTGCTCAGGGCTGCCCCCCGCGCGGCTCACGAGGTCTAGGCGGCGGCGGCAGTTGCCCGGGCAGCGCCCCCCTTGGGGACCCGCAGGTGCGCCCGGCAGCAGCTGGGTGCGTGCCACCGCGAGGGAGGGACGAGGGCGCGCTCGGCTCCTGTCAGTGGGCGGTGCCCGGCTGCAACGCCAGCCTCCCGCCGCCCGCGGCTCTCTATTAATACTCGGCATGCAGCTGGCTGCGTGCCACGACTTGCCCTAGGGCCAGAGTCCCTCCGCCCTCCGGGGCAGGGGTGGAAACTGTGTGCAGGAGCGGGATAACTTGCCTGCGTAGGAATAGGCAGGATATCCCCTGCAGCCTTCCTTGGGTAGACCCTGGGCAAGGCAGGTGAGTGAGCCTTGGCCTGTGACCTTCCCAGCATCCAGGTTTTTGTAGTGACCACTTCGCAGGGTCTGATCTGGCCCGAGAAGCCCTAAGCTAAATATGATGCCTGCTCCAGGCCATCAGCTCAGGGAACCTATTTTAGGGCAGCTGCCATGAACAGGATCTGCTACCCATTCATTCAGTACTGCCTTGACATTTAGGAGTTCTACAAGCGAATCCCTTTCTCAGATCCAGTTTCAGCCTTCTCCCTCTGCAGAAGTCCAAGTTTGGAGAAGAAAAGGGGAAGGCACCTTGTTGCCAGGTGATAATGAGCAAAAGGAGGTGGTGAATTAAAGAGACCCAGTGTTTGTTTGGTGTTCAAACTAAAATTTTCTCAACATTGCATTTTTTCCAGAAAGCTCATGGAAGCTGGGTTTCACCCATGTTCCTATTGTAAATTTAAATTTAATCAGTGAATACTGCTTCTTTGTCATTCCTCCAACAAGCTTTATGTTTAAAGCTAAATTCACTTAGGAGTTCTGAACATGGGTTGTTGATACAATAGGAGCAATCGGTTAGTGCCATTTCAAAGCATGTTTATGACAACTACATTACAGAACTACATTACGAATCCAGATCCTTCAATGGGTAGAAACAAACAAACAAAAATCCTGGTTTATTTTTACACAGAGCCTAGTACCATTTCTTAGCAGGTGAACTTTTTCCTCTGGCTTGCATAATCAAACTCTGATCAGTGAAAAGAGTGCACCTTTTTTGTCAAGTAAGGACTGATTATTCCTAATATACCTACAACTGGAGTTATTAAAAATGTCAAAGTTAGGACAGATTCCTAGAATCTGTTTAAGAATGGAAATTATTATTATCTCCTTTAAAAAATGCACAAGAGGAGGCTCGGCTAAAGTAACTTGCTCACAAACAGAGGTGAGGATAACTGGAATATAGCTCTCTGTAATTACAAAGCCTGTGCCTAGTTTCTACCTTGGATCCACTGATTAGACACTTTCTGCAATCTATAGTAAGAGCTTTTCACCAACAACCTTCAGAAAAATGATTCCTTAATAAGAACAAAGGTAGGCCAACCTAGAGAGTCATGATTCCCTCATAGAGGAGCTTCTACTTTCCATAACAATGCAGGACACACAAATGGCACTTGAGAAAGAATGTGGGACTCAGTGTCCCAAGCAAGACTACTATGAGAACATCACTCATCCATTCAAAAAATCCATTCAACATTTGTTAAATACCTACTATTATACACACTTTACTGGAAGCTGATTTCATCTCAGCAACAGATTCCCCAAAGAATGCTCCAAGGAATTAGACATTTGCAGCAGAGAAAGAAAAAAGCAACATCTCTCCATGCAGATGACCATTGAGCTAATTTACTTCAAGCTGAAAAATGTGCCTTTTGCTGGACAGGACATGGAAGAGAAGAAAGCAGATCCTGAACACCATTCTAGTAGGAACATTTCCAGCAGTCACGACTAGCAAGGAGGCTCACAAACTGGATTGGTCTAAAATTCTAGTGGCAGGCTCACTTAGAGGCAGTAAAATATAATGATCAGGAATCTAGTCTTTGTTGTCAGACAAACACTGCATTCAAATGCTGACCTAGGTCAATGATGATCAAATACTGGGTGAATCCAACACTGTCTAGTGAATTAATAACTTGGGCAAGTTATACAATTAGCCTAAGACTACATACTGTAAAATGGAATTAATAGAACAAACCATATAGGATGTTTCCATGATGATCTATGCATTGATAAAGAAGTACTTTTGTTGCTCGTAGCAGAAACCCAAATTAGCAGTGACTAAAGTAAATTAAATAATATTTTCTCACTTGATGTGAAGGTAGCGGAGGTAGATAGTCTCTAGTTGGTATTATAGTTCCATGTTTTCATCAGGGACCTAAAAACTGTTTAACTGCTTCAGTGTGGGGAAAATGCAAGTTCCTATGGCCAGGATCCTCACCTGACCCTAAACTACTTGACGATGTAATTGGTCTACTGCTAGGCTACTTTCCCACACCCATAGAATAAGCTATTATCAACTGAGTCACGATATAAAAAGCTCTGGGCAGAGGCAGAGAGAGAGGAGGATTACAGACCTGCAGACTGTTGGATGCATATGAGATTCTAGTGTTTGACCTATTGCTGGGAGAATGAAACCAGGTAATACACCCTTCTACCCCAAGAATGTTTCATTGTCATTTCTCAGTCTCACTGAATCCATAGTAAATGTACCCAGGGCTGAAACCCTTAGGCAAGACATCCAGCGTCCTACAGGAGTTCAGCCTCAGGACTTCCTCATTGTCTTGCCAATGGGTTTCAGCCCCAGGCAAGTTCACTATGGATTCAGTGTGACCAAAGAAAATGACAGTAGAATGTTCTTGGGGTGAAAGGGTTATACCCAACTTTATTTCCAGGTGGCAGGTCAGTCACTAAAATCCTATTCACTCAGAGCAAGTCTGCATGCAGCAAGCCGGTCTCTGCCTCAGGGCCCCTCTGTCCACACAGCCGTCCTCTGTGCCTCTGTCCTTGGCACTGCCACCATTCTAGCCTCTGCTCTGCTCTGCTCTCCTGCAGCCTTGCAGCCCTGCCACCATGTCGCATGCAGAGCACTGGGCAGGGCTGTTTATATAGAGTCAACAGCAATGTATTTCCCACAGGTGTGCAGTGAGCTAGTCAACCAGGGCCAGGTGAGAATCCTGGCCACAGGAACTCTCATTTTATCAACACTCATGGTCACAAAATGGCTGCCAGAACTCCAGCCTAAATCTTGCCCAAACAAGAAGAAGAAGGAAGGGAGAAAGGACAAATACAGCACTTGGAAGCTGAGTCATGTCCCTTAAAATAACTTTCTTAGAAGTCATATCAACAACTTCCATGTAAAATTCAATAGATACTCCCTCTTCAAGAGAACCTGGGAAATGTGTGTGTGTGTGTGTGCGTGCGTGTGTGCACGCGCGTGTGTGTGTGTGTGTTAATCTGGGCATTTTAGGGGTTCTGTTATCAAGAAAAAGGTAGAGAATGGATACTGGTACATAGCTAGCAATCTCCACCATAGTGAGAAAAACATTTGACACAGTACCAGGCACAAAGTAAATACCTGCTGCCCCCTTTCCCCCACCTCAAAGAAAAAGAGGCAGAGAAAGCAGCTATGTTAGAGAACCAAGATGATTCCAAATTAATAGATGACAATAGGACTGGTCTAAATGTGTGTGCATGTTGGGCAAAGAGGGAAGAGTTTGGTCAGGTAAGAATTTTTCATAAAATAACATTTGTTCACTTCATAAGTTTTAAGCAGAGCTCAAAACTGCCAGGAAACATCATTTAGGCTATACTCAGCACACTTTTGTGCTAAAAACTTGAAAGGAACACCATTTAGGTACTTCACAGAACTCAAGGCCAAGAGAAAGAACATTTACAAGCAATTCATAGAAACAAAAGTGGAGAGGGGGGAGAGAAAAAGTAAGAAAGGGATTTAACATTTATTGTTTTCCAGCAAACCAAATGATATCTGCTGTCTAAAGAACTTTTTACAAGCACTTTATTAGGAGGATATCAAGGGCACACAGACTTGACTACAGGTTGGAAAATCAGACTCGGAAGTCAAGCAGGAATGAAGCCGGTTCCAGAAGTTCAATAAATCGGAAGTAGAACAATCATGTTTTTGCTGAAGAGGGTCTAGCCAAGGATGCCCCCTCTCCCTGAAAGCCCCATTGCCACCATCAGATCCCAGCTCAAGTACCCCGACAGGATGCATTTTCTTATCTTTATTTTATTTGAATGAATGAATCAGGTGTGTGCACCTGATTGGCCTGCCTGGATCCAAGAATGAAGGCAGGATGGCTCTCCTCCATTTGGCTTCCCAAGGTGCTGAAGTACCCTCACCTTTACTATACTCAAAGAGGGGATCCACACGTACAGAAAGGAGGAATAGATACGGGACAACCAAAAAAACAAATATGAACTACAATGCCCCAACGAACCAAGCTATGTAGAATGCTTGGCGTGTAATCTTCACAACAGTCCTGACAAGCAATTATTATTGCTTCCATCTTATAAGTTTAAAATTAAGTCTAAGGCTATACAGGAAGTAAGCAACAGAGCTGGGATTCAAACTCATGAATTTCAAAAGCACTTCTTTTTTGCAATATGTGACACAACTTCTATGTTTTATTTTATCTGGATGTTGCATTGTAGGAAAACATCTGCCTCACCAAGTCTAGGATCAAGGGATTTAGAGGATGACATTGAGATATTAAAAACCATTTAACACTGAGTACAGTTCTTGTGGCTAGCAGAAAATGAGATACTTGATAGTTATTTGTCCACTGATTAGTCATCTATTCAAATAACTCTGAGTTTTGATAATATGACAGGCACTGAGTTAAACATGGCACACAAATATATGTGGTCCCTAAAAGAACATTGTCTGGTAGGGGAAATAGATCTGTGAACAGTGAAATCAAAATGTGTTATGACAGATGCAAGAATAGAAGCACAAAGAGGTATTACAGAGCAGGCAGCAATGAACCATGTCAGAATGTCCTGGGTTATGCTTCATAACAAATAAGCTCTCAGATCATCCTGGCTAACAACTCCTGATAAATCTACTTTTTTTGCATTCCTTATAAATCTACCTAGCCAGAATGCAGGATTCTGGAGCAGCCTCTCTCTGGACCTTTAACAGTCAAACCATGCCATGACTCATGTTCAGAAGCAATATCCAGTATTTCTGCTGACAGTTGATTGGGGAAAACAAGTCACAGG